CCTAGTCCATTTGACTTCCACTTCACAGAGAAATATCAAAGTTTTTTTTTTTTTATTGTGAGTTGATACATATGGAATATTTTCTATACAAAACAGCCATTGATCCAGTTGGATTTATATTTGGATTCTGAACATATTTAATTTAGTGGCAAACAACATTAAATACAGTAGAAAAAATATAAACAATGTTACCTTTATCTTTTTCCTTGACTGGGGAAGATACCCTTAGTTTAATGTTCTCTTTTTCTGAATAAGAAATCCTACAGGTTAAGTAACAAAAGGAAGTCTTAATAATATGAAATTCAAACACAACCCAGTTACAAGAATATCCCACCTCCAGCAATGTATTTTTTTTTCTGCAGAATTATTTTGGTAATTCTTCATATTAATACAAAGGCAAGGTTAACAAAGCAATTAATAAAGAAAATTGAACTTGCTCTTAATGGAATTCATTCCAATAATATTTATGGGGAAAGATAATTCAATTATCACTGAATAAGCTTTGTACATGCTATTTGCTGTGATGATACTTTACATGTCCTTCTGGAAAGGACATTTGATCCCTTCTATGGAAGAAAGGCTTACTAAGGTGTGGAAAGCTGTTTCAATGTCCAAAATAACTTTATATCTTAAAAGTAAATCTGACATAGATCTAGTTCAGTTTGGAGACCAATTTAAGATACATGGATGTCTACCACATTCAAAATGTGGATTTCTCTTTTTACATAAAGCTTTAACATTTCAGTTTTATAGGATTTTAAAAATTAGAATAGACTTCTAATAGTGTGGACAGAATTTATTGTAGTTTACAATTTCATTTTATGACTTGTACTGTAATGACTGCGGTTTCTGATATTTATATTCAGTTTAAAGTTTAATAATGATTTTCAGTTTTTTTAAATGATAAAATACACTCAGTTACTTAAAATCAATAATGGAATACTGAAGAATTTTAATTTTTATGATACTTGTAAATCCTTTGTTTTTTTCATGTATATTCTATTCTTTTACCCCCTTTTTAAATTCTTTTTCCTTTTCTAGTCAAAAAATATCTACCTACCAACCTGCACTGGTCAGTGTGGTAGATTACAGTCCATAAACTTCAAAGAAGAGCCCTTCATCCTGCGGGAGACTGATATGGGCTAATAATAATACATAAAATAAACTGTTTCTATATAAACTCTTTATCCTTAATCCAGTAGTTGATTCTAGATATGTAATAATATTTTGTACCCTCTACTGCACTTAAGAAAAAGTGATTAATTCTCATGTAAGTATACTTTTATGAACTTGATTGCAGTTTACACCTTCATTCTCAAATATTTTTAACAGGAGACACTTAATGTCTCCAGTCTCACTTTGAGCACCATGTTTTCTTTTTCTTTAGTGCAAATACTGGATTTTTTAATTGGATGTATCTAAGGATTCCCAAATAGTTATAATTTTTGCAACAGAAAATTGATTGTAGCTACAATTTTATACATCGAACTCTTAAGCTATATTTATTTCTTCAAGTCAGACTTCACAGACAAAATCCACATAACAATATGGAATTTTTTGCTCCTGCTTTCTTCCAGGATGTTTTTTAACTTCACTGTTTGGTCTAGACTATCAGATTCCATGGAGGCTTTAGCCAGGCCTAACCTAGCTTTGCTTTCAAGTTCAAGCAAGATTAGTCAAGTTTTGCTGAGCCTTTGTATACTTACCTGAGAGAATGGGAATAAATATTATTACATTTATTGGGGTTTTATCTTACCCATACTTTATGAAACTATACTTCATATGCAATTAATGCATTTAAATTAATATTTCCTAAGAGATATCACTTTAACAATCCCTATTCATTTCAATGAGGATTATGTAAGAACTATAAAACCAGGTGATGTGAATGGATGGCATGTCATATCAATGCCTGGTGAATTATGTCCAGTCTTCCTTATACTTATTTTGCCATGATAATTGTACTTCTTAATTCTCACCCATGATTTGACCATGTAGCTGTCATCCAAGGTTTGTTTTTTGAATTGTTTTGCCTGTGGAAAAATGTAAAAATTATTACATGTTACTAATTCGTTGTGCTGGAAGAACAAAGAAGGAAGATGCTACAATCTATACTGGAGTTAACTAACTGCAGAAAGAAAAAAAAGAAAGGAAATAGAGCAAAGTGACTAACATCAAGAGAGCAATTTACACAACCAGAGAATCTGGACATATTGATTTCTGTAAGTGACCTATACTTATAAACTGTTCATATTATCAAAAATGTTAACTTATATGAGGTTCCTATGGGCCATCTATTGAAGTTGATGAAATACATGATTTAAAATATAGGAAAGGAAAATATATAACTATGATGTTCTGACTAAGCTTCATATTAGTGATACAAGATGGTTACAAACCATTTAGTCAAAAAAAGATAATTTTTTACTGTAGAATATATCTATCTTTCTGGATTTATTAATCCTATACCTATTTTTTGTACTAAATTGTCAAATGCCTCTGAACAATTAGTCATCAACATTTTAATTCATTTTTTTATTTATTGCATTTATAGCATTATATACTGCCATATATCCCAAGGATTCTCGTATATAAAGAATAAATCAAACAGTTAAAAAACCAAAATATGAGAAGACAGAAGACAATAATTACAGGTATTAGTTTTTAATTACAATAGCAAAGTAATTAAATCTATAGAAGCTACTTGTTTCTTTTATATGGATGATTTCCTCCCCAGCTTTGGATAACTTTTTATTCAGACAACTGGCCAAATGCAATTTCTTTCAGTTTTATTTCTGTAACAACCACAGGGAATTTAGGAGTGCAACTTTCAGTTCATACTCAGAAGCCATCTATTACAATAATATATGTACAAACATGTAGAATACCTTTAAATGTAGCCAGTTTGGGATCATCTTTGTTAAAATCAATTTTATTTCGAGGTGTTTAAAATTCATAAAACCAGAAACAAATTTACGTTATATTGATTAGTTGGGGATGATGTAGTTTTCTGAACTCTTTGACATTGGACTGATACCATAATCTTAAGATTTTCTGAGAGATATAGAGTTAAGAGGGTGTTTATCAAAGATTCTGTACAAATTGCAGGAGTATAATACAACAATCTAATATATTTGATTTTTTTTTTGGTTAATTCCTCTTCCATTTTTTGAAAAATGGGCCTTAATCAGCTCACCCTCCTTTTTTTTTTTTTTTTGATTCTCCCCTTGTTTTTGCCCAACATCACAGACTTGGGGAAAGCTGGAACAAGTAAAGTTTAGCATGACTTATTTATTACAGATTAAGATACATAGACTATTTGACACCATATACTTGAGGTTATTGAAAATAATAAGTCCAAACATGGATCATAATGAACATTTTGTTGTAGTGTTAATTTGTGAACAATTAATATCAGGATGATTAATCAAAAGCATCCTCTAACAATCTCTTTTAGCTATTAATAGTTTCAAGCTATCATGTGATAAAGTTGTAAACAAACAAATATAATTAAAATATTATCTTACCCTTTTGGAAGGTTTGCAGGTGCTATATTGCTAATTCCTTGGAACTGTTTACGTAAATTTGAAAGGAACCAATGAACAGCTAGGATTGAGTTAAACTTTTTTCCTGGGTTCACCATACGATAAAGATCATGCAGCAAAAAATGGATTTTAGGAACAGCAGAAGGGAAAAGCTGAAAGAAAAAGCAATTGGGAACAATAAGAAAGGTGTGTATGAACTAACTAATTTCCATATATTCTATCAAATTACAAAGAAAAGATTTTTCCTCTGTCTTCTCTCATCCCAGTATGGTGAACAAACATCATAGTAATCAAATATATATGGAAAAATATTCACATTTGGGAAAAACACTTATTGAAAAATAAAACCACAAATGTCACATACCAGTTCAAACTGCCCTAGATTCTGAATCCCTTTCACAAAACTGATCAATGGATTTAATTCTTCTAATGTTAGGCAATAATCAGAGTTCTCCTGGAGATGCTCATCCTGTGAATAGACAATAGGAGAATCTTGGATGAGATAAGAAAACAGCAAGCCACTAAACTAAGCATGTCCTGAACCAGATTGCTAGCCCTCTGCAGCTACTGCTTGGTCATTCTGTTCCTGGGCTGGAAATGGCTGAAGAAGAATTCCCAGAGTTGTCTCCCTTTGGACTGTAGCATTCATATCCAGAGGAGAAATTGTATGATTATTTCGTTTTCCATTTTTTTTTAACAAAAATCCACATATACTGCATATATACAACTAACATGACAAAAAGAAGATATTAGTAATAGAGTAGTCCTTCTCACATTCAGACATGCAATTCTTTGCAAATTTTCTCCAAATCAATCCATCTGAAATCTGTCAGGTGATCTAGAATGATACTATGGCTGATAACAGCAAAAGCCACTGGCAATTATAAGCTGCAGTTTTAATACCGCAAAAACATTTTTGTTTGCAGAATATTGCCATACCTTAAGCCTTACCTTAATTCTTGCTGATCGGTATACATTTTGCATAGCTTCAAAGAAAGTAGAGGAAGAAGATTGATTCGATAAGAGAATCCTGAATGTATCTCTTAGAAGGATTTCTTTAACAGTTTGGTCCTCTGAAAATGAATCTTCATCAGCTTGAAAGTCAAAATATTCATGTACCTAGGATACATATTAACTGATTAAAACATTTAACCAATCAATAGATGACAACATCTACAGATGCATAGCTCCATCTGGAAATGTTTATCGGAACAGAAGAAGGAGAAAACACATGTGTGAGCAGAAAATACATTCCCAGCATAGGAATTTTCCTGTCTCTTTCCAAAACCCTTTCACTTAATCACATAGGCCACTCCCACTTGTTAGTTACTCATGACAATTGTAGTATGCAAATGCTTACCTCAAGAACGATAGGATAAAAAGTGTGTCTAAATCCAATATCAAAAGTTAACATCTGAAAGCAAGAACTGCATCTGAAATAAGAGAACTGAAATAAATTAACTGATTCCATTTTTCAAATCAACCTAATACCCAAATTTTAAAAGGTATCATGTATATTTCAGAACCCCCTCAAGTCCTGCTATGCTGCCTCATCAGTGTATGTGGGGGTGGGGAGGGGGTGTTCCTGGAAGGGATGAACAAAGAACATCGGGAGTGTATGCCAAGAATATGTACTCCTAGCAGGGATACTCTAGGTGTGAAGGTCATCCCTAAAGCAAGCAGGCACTTAGGTTGGACAGCAATGATATAGGAAGATGCTTAAGTCAGATGTTAACTTTAGCAACAATGGCCAAGGCAACATTTCATAATGTATGGGAGAAGGTAATGATAAACAACTCCTGTAGTTTACCAAGAAAACCACATGGCTAGACAATATAAAGTGATTGATGATATAATACCAGATGATGAACACTTCAAGTTGGATGGCACTCAACATGCTACTAAGGGAGAGCTAAGGATCTTTTGGAGTATTAATAATGTTTATGACCCAGTGAGATTAAAGCCTTCCAGATGTCTACTTGCTGGTTTTGCCATGCAGGAAAATAAAATCCAAAGTGGCAAAGACAGATTTACAGTGGGAACATGGAACATAAGAACACAGTGAATGATGGAATGAATCAAAGTCACATTACATCTTAGGTACTGGCAAACTGAAATGGACCAGAATTGGTATTTTCAGTCAGAAGATCATACTGTTTACTACTCTGGACAAACAAACAAACAAACAAACAAAACAGAGAAGAAAGAGCATTGCTTCTATAGCTAGGGAAGATACAGCCAAGACAGTACTTGGATACAAAGCAATCAATGAATCAATTAGACATTGCTGACAAACATTTAATTTGAGAATTATCCAAGTGATAATTGATATAGAGGAAAGGGAGGTTGGCAAGTTTTATGGTCAAGTTCAATCTGAAATTGACAGAACATGCAAGCAAGATATTCTGCTTATGGATGGAATGCCAAAATTGAAAATAGTGAGGAGAAAACATAATTGGATTCTATGGCCTAAGAAACAGAAATGAAGCAGGAGAATGACTTATCTGTTTCTGCCAATCCAATAATTTCTTCATGGCTAACATGGTCTTCAAACAACCAAATTAATGCCTACATAGAGATCACCAGGTGGAATACACAGAAGCCAATTTGACTATATTACTGGTACAAGGAGCATAGTCATAACAACAAAGACATGGCTAGGAACTGATTGTGGAACAAATTACAAACTGGTATTGTGCAAGTTCCAAGTCAAGCTAAACTTGAAGGACAAAGCCCATCATTTTCTGTGATATGATCTTAGGCCAAATGCACCATTTTCAAGGAGAACATCAGGAATTGCTTTGAAGTCCTCATTGACTGGGAACCAGAAGAACTGTGGAATGAAATCAAAAAAGTTGTTAAGGATGAATGTGAAAAGAGAGTGCCAAAGATCAAGAAACAGGCAAAATCAAATTGGATGCCAGACCAAATGGTGGAAAGTGACAAGAGAAGTCAAAGCCAAGAAAGACAATGATCACAGGAAGGAACTTAATTTCAGACAGCTGTTAAAAAAGACAATAAGTAGTATTACAACAACAACTGTAAAGACACTGAAGATGGAAACAGGCATGGAAAACAAAGAAAAGTCTTCTAAAAGATCTAACTCAGAAGGAGGTTCCAAGATCAGATAAAGATGGAAGGAGTACACTGAAATTCAGTATAGTAAAGATGACAACATCCAAGATATCCTACAAGATATTGCCTACTTAAAAGAATCGAAGTACTAGAAGATGAAGTTAGATCAGCACTCTGGTTGTTACCATGTCAGAAGGCTACAGGAGCTGATGGAATATCCATTGAAATATGGCAAGCAACAGAAAAAGAATCAGTCAAGATTCTAACCAAGCTATGCCAGCAAATTTGGAGAACAACACAATGGCCAACAGATTGGAAGAGGTCAATTTACATTCCAATACCCAAAAAAGGAGACTTAACAGAATGTGGAAACTATCATACAATTTCCTTAATTTCACATGCCAGCAAAATATGTTGAAGATGGTTTTCAGAAAGGCCAAGGAACAAGAGACTTTATTCTTGATGCATGCTGGATAATTGAGAAAGCTAAAGAATACCAAAAAGAAGTCAATATGTACTTCCCTGATTATAGAAAGGTCTTTGATTGGCATACCAGTCAAGCTGTGGAATGTGCTTTCAGTCTTGGATATTAAACCAACTTTGTTTGCTTGTTATACTGGCATCTTGTCTTTCTTTTCGAATAGGTGTGCATAATTTTTTTAGGTGAGGACTGCACTTGGCATCCAGTAAGTAGGTTCAGATGGGACAAAGAAATAGGCAGGGACAAGACAAAAACTGAATCTATTTCCTTCCTTATTTATTTCATAGACACATTTTTCATCTCACGGGTATTGTGCAGATTGCCTGAGCAAAAGAACATTTTTACAAATAATATAAGATATTATTAGCTACTCTGCTGACTTCTTGTCATTCTATCCCACCAATTCCCTTACTTGGAATTGCTTCTGGGTAAACCAAAGAGTATTTCTTGGAAAGTTGTTTATATTCATCCACTTACTGGCTAGTAGTTTGTGGCTGAGGTAATGCTGCTTCACTGAAAACCTCAGTTATCAACAAGAGTTTGCTTATTGCCTCTTTCATGTCATCCAAAGCCTGCTGAGGAGAAGTGGCCCTCAAAAATGTCTGAAAAAAGGTTTGCAGCTATAAAAGAGAAAGAGAAGCACGTTTCAAAATGCTAAAATATATATTCCTTTAATCCCAGGGAATTCTCAAAATGCAGGCTTAATCCTGCCATTTTCCCACTTAAAAGAAATAGCAGACAGTTGATTATTCAATATTTTGGAAGCAGAGATCAAGTTCAAAGGGGTTTGGAGGGATAGTTTTGTTCCTTTACACAGTTGGCCTCAGACATGCATGGAAATGGGTTACAACAGAAAAAGTATACATCTGACATACATTCACATTAAATCAAGATCTCTGGAGTTGCAGAAATCAATTTAATTTCTCTTTTGGCAAAGCAGGAGCTCTGTAAACTATTATTTACTTCAGGAGCAGTCCTCCATTTTGAGTTTTTGGGCATATTTAGAATTCTAAGACCATGTTGAGGTGATTGCTGTCACTGAAGGGCTGACTTCCTTATTGACAAAATGGACAGAATCATGGTAGGTCATATGGAAAGACTCTGAAATACAGCGGAAGAATGGTTGGTTAAGATGATAGAATTTGCAGAGATGGCAAAATTGACTTGTTTGATTAGGGAAAAGACAATATCTACATTTGTCAGTGACTGGAAACCCTTTATGGACTTTTTGCTGAAAACAGATAAAAATGAAGTTGTGAATTATAGGTTTGACGAGCCATGATACAACTTTAGAGAGAGAGGATAAAATATAAATGCATTTATAACTGCTGCTTCTTTATATCTTTTTTCTTTTTTCTCTTTCTTTTCTGTCTCTTTTCTTTTATTTATTTCTTATTAACTTATCATTTTCTTTACTTTCCTTTTTCCTCTTTAAATTTGTATTGTTTTTATTCTGTAAAAAAATTATTCAATAAAAATTAATAATAATAAAAAAAGAATCATGGCAGGTCATCAAAGGCCCATTTATGAGAAAAGAAATGGTTGCTTGTATTCCCAGGTATCTGCGTGCTCATTTATGGCTACCATGCTGCTCGTTTCTGGTTTATTTATTTACATTTTAAAATGATTTACCACTTTTCATTTTCAGTACAAATCCCAAACTAATTTATAATCATTTCATAATAAAATAACTAACCAATGGATTGAAGTCTACCTTACCATGCATTTCCAAAGAACATCAGAATGAATGTTAAAAAACATGGAGTTCAGATTTCCTAGCAGTACCCCCTACCTTCAATTCTCTGTGCACTTCTTTTTGTTCCTAAAACTACATTTCTACTTGTGCTCCATGAAGTGTTAAAAGACGATAGCTTGAAAACAAATTAATTCTAAGAGACTGCGTATGTCTCTTGGAGAAATTTCTCTGTACCGTTGCCCATGGTATAGAAACAGATAGCATAAAATTTTGAGAGGAGAGAACAGAATTGTGAAAGGAAAGAGGGAAGGAGAGGATTTTCTCCCTTAGGAGGTAGAATAAATGATGTAATGACAGCTGAAAAAAAATAATCGCATGTTTTGTGACATGCTAAGCATTGTTTTCCCTTTCTTTTAATGAATAGATTTTTACCTCGCTCTACATCAAGAGCACTAACATCATCGTAATAGCTACAACAAACCATGGGAAATAATAACCACAGTCCACAGCTTTTCTTTCATTGACTAGCTTGTTATACACTTACTGGAATGTGGTTAAAGAGAAATCATAGCAATAGGGGGAAAAAAATCATAATATGTCACTTGCCTGAAAGGAGTTTCTCTAACACATTACCTCCATCTACTGGACACAGAAATAAATGATTGTACTGTAATAGTCAAAACTTTTTTCTTTTTTTTTTTGGCGCCTTTGAGTCATTGTTGATCCTGGCAATTGTGTGGACAAGTCCCTGCAGTTTTCTTGGCAAGATTTCAGAAGTGGTTTGCCATTGCCTGCTTCCTAGGGCTGAGAGGGAGTGACTGGCCCAAGGTCACCCAGCTGGCTTTGTGCCTAAGGGAGGACTAGAACTCACAGTCTCTCAGTTTCTAGCCTGATGCCTTAACCGCTACACCAAACTAGCTCTCCAATAGTGAGACTAAGAAACGAAAAAATATTATTACAAAGATAAATGAAAAAGCATTGGTAAAACTTAAAAAAAAAAGAATAAAAAGTTAATCCAGCTATATTCTGCAGATCCCTACCACTTTTTAAAATGCTATAATCATGCTGAGTTTGAGTAAAGGCTCGCGGTCATTAATATGATCTGCATAGTAATCCTGGAACAAGAAGCTAGGTTGATTTATTGAATAGTTCAAGAGAAAAACCACTTCAAGCTTCCCTAAATCTGAGCAGAAAGAACAAGGCAATACATTCTTTCTTACAAAAATAGTTATTCCATGGAAAATTTGAAGACTTGTCAACCTTGCCTTTCTGGGCCTGGTCTCTATATTTCTCAGGTCAATTGAAGAAGAAAGTCTTTTTCTGCTCTGCTGCTAGTCAGAGACAGTCTGAGATCTATTATTTCTTCTGCTGTGTTAGGGTGGGGATGGGAAATGAACCAGAAATGTTTATTTTTTACTAACCTTCTTTGAGCAGTATATGAAGTATACTATAGTACTATAAGTACTAGAAACTATGTACAGTTGGACCTGGCTAGTACTTCGATGGGAAACTAGCAGGAGATCCCAGAATTGTAGGCTAGATTGATCAGCCAAAAAACCTCCTGGAGAAAGCTATGGCACCTCCATATACTTGCCAGGGAAACGGTATCACCAGGACTTGAATTCCCTTTGAGGAATTCCTTTATAAGGAAAGACCAAATGCTCTGTCGCCCGTTGATATTACTGCACCCCTTGTGCTCAATATCCACAGTGCTCACCCGTTGCTCACCACAGCCAGTGATAAAGCACTGCAAAATCTTTTAAATGCCTGTTTTTTTCACTATTCTTTTAAATTTAGTTCACTGTCCTCTTCTCTCCTTCAGAGCAGATGAAAGCAAGTTAATCCTATTTGTTGGTATGTGTGGTTTCCCTGGACAGCCTGCCTGTTTAAGCTAATGTTTATTCCAAGTACATGTGAGAATTAATGCTCTTCAGAAAGCTTGCTGAAAAGATTTTTGCTTTTGCTTTGCTTTTGTTTTCAAGAAGGAAGAGAGAAGGACTATTGGTGCTGAGGGGTGAACTCAAGACTATTGTGGCAACTGGAAGCTTCAGCCTACTGATGGTTTCAGTGCTCAGCTACTGGGTCACTTGGGCAGAGGAATGATGAGCTGAAGGTCTTCCTTGCAAATTCGCATGCCATACAAAACATGTCTGAGATCTCTGGATGTTGAGACTAAAATGAAAAAAAAAAAAACCATGTAGGGTTTAAGGTGCTTATGAGATGACTTACAAACAGAAGAGATGGTGGTGGGACAGAATTCAGGAGCTCCAGAGAAAAGAGGGCAGCCACTCATGAATAATCCAAGTACTAGCAGGATACATATTTTTTTAACCTTATATTTATTATTGTGTTGTAGCCCTCTACTGCTCACACCTCTCTTGAATGAAAATAAATTCCCAGTAGATGTAATAATTTAAGGAAGGCATGTGTAATACAGTAATGATTGTCCTAGCCAGGAAATAAATTGCACCATTTGATATCCAGGTCAGGCTGATAAGCACCTGATTATTCCCTTGTGCCCTAATATGAAGCTTGGGGTGGACATATGGTGATTTCAGCTCTTGTTTAGGAATTTCCAGGGATCTGCTGTACAAGGAATAATGTGTCCCTGGGACTAATGCATTTGGCTCACACAAAGTCATTTTGTACTGTGTATGTTGTGGCGGAGAGATATGTTTGGGAGGCACAGTCTTTAATTGACATATGGTTGTTTTTAATAGTGGAGTATCTGATTAGTAGATTATGCTGATGGTTCCAGAGACATTGTGGCCAAGACTCTCATTTATACATTTTGTTTTAGTGGTGTTCCAAACATTGTTTTTCTCCCTACAATCCATGCTGTGCATGCTGCAGTTCTCAGGCAACCAGGGGTTTTCAAATTTTGCAATACCATGACTCACAATTTCTTCCCTGTGCTATCTTACAGCCCTGCATCTCTTCCCCTCCATTGCAATTTCCTCCCTCCAGCTTTGAATTCTGGGAGTTGAAGTCCGCACATCTTAAGGTTGCCAAGTTTGAGAAACACTGCTTTAGAGCAACTGCATCTTTTCCTGAGTTCATACAGCTCCCCACTGCAAATTCAGCCTGACAGAGATCTCCCTTGTCCTGAATGAAAACATCTTAATTGGAAATGAAAGCAAAAGAGATAAAAAAAAAAGAAGCTGGGTGTGTTCCATCTGTTTTGAACTGAAGGGAAGAACATAGTTTTACCTTGACTGAAAAATGCTTCTTCTTAGGTAGATCCCAGAGAATTCCAGTTGAATGAATGAATGCCTGTAAAGGTGTTAAGGACGTCACCAACACATGCACTTTGAAGATGATTGAAAAATCTTGAATTTTAAAGGCTTCTTTATTTTCTGCTGTAATGGGGATCTGATGTCTGGAAAATTACAACATAATATTAGGAAAATGTTGTTTCTTCCGTGTGATTCTAACAAAAAGAAGACATCATATTTTTCATTCTGGGTGGAAACAATAGTTTACACATGTCAAGCTAAGAGGCAGACTGCTTTGTTTATTGACTTGGGAGTTCTGGCTTGTTTATGACTTCTATTTATATATTTTTGTATTTTATGTTTACTCAAAATGTGAATAATTTTGTGTATTTCTAGTGTGTATTTTCTATCCTTATGAACCACCAAGAGTCCTTGGGGATTGCACCAAGGTACAAATGTAATAAATAAGTAAAGTAGGATTTGGGATTTATTCTGGACTTTTATTGCTGGCTTGTTTGAAGCAGGTTTGCATGTCTTGTTATACAAAATTCAAAAAGAGTTCCCACCATTTGTGTAGTTACTCTGACTGGCAGAAGCAGAAAAGCCGGAACATTTCTTCATGAAATGACTTCATTGATTTCATTTCAGGGTTAGCTGGATATGGGGACATAGCCTCAAAGACATCCCTAATGCTGGATCAAGAGCTAAAATGGCATCATTTTTTTCCTGCTGTTCCACTTCACCACTTAAAAAAAAAAATGCTGCCCCATTCAGGCATCAAGACCTGCCTTCATTTATTTTCTCTCATTCCTATACTGCTTGAAGCAATAAACTTGGACCAGAAGTCTTCAGTGATTTGACATTTATTTTCTTCTGATAAACATTTTTAATAAATTCTTCAGACTTCACTTCATTTCATAAAGGTGCCATAAGTTAGCGCAAAAATATTTCTTTTTCTCCCAATACTCTAATAGTTAAATTAATTGTTCTATGCTTGGGATGTGTATTCACATAAATATGCACCCACACATTTCATACAGACATATGCAGGGTTTGATCACTTAAATATTGAATACTACTGTGATAGAGATATGTATACTTCTATATTTGGTTTATTTTCTTATCTCTGGCACTTTTACTATCATATTCAAAGGCTAGAATTAGACAATAGTCCCAACTGAACCAGGGTTCCTATTCTCTGTTGGTCAAATAATAGAATTGTTAGAGCATTGCATAAGATGATTAGTTGGATATTATGAAGGATTTGTTTGTTTATTTATCCTAAATCCTTTCTACACAGCAATCTGTCCCCTACAAAGATTCAGTCATTTTTATCTCAATTGCCCTCATGCCTACAATTTTGGAACCCATGGGTGAATGGAGGAAAATGTAGGGAACATATTTGGTCAACAAATGAAAAGTTAAGTAATGGTTCTCTGGTTTTACATTAGAAGAAATTCAAATATAATGAAAGAAATATCATTTCATTCTACCCAGGGAGGTTTTGTTAAGAACATAAAAATATCTTACTGGTGAACAACCTTGACTGGCTGATGTAATGTTTCAATCAAACTTGTCCTTTCATTCTTATCATAAGATTTGACCATATGAAGAGACGTAATTTTTGAATCTGGGCAAGCAGAAGGAACAACTGGAAGATGCAAATCTGGAAAAAAAAACCTCATTAGATTGGGAGAGGGAAATCAAAATGAAATATGGCAAAATAACAAACGGCTATCTTTTTGACAAAAGCATTGCTCTGTAGTTATATTTCACATCTTTAACATTACCTGGATTGGAGATATAATAACCAGGAAATCTAGACTGGGAAATTGAAAAAGATCCCCCCCAAAAGGCAGAGGATAACTACTTCCTTATTGTTGCCAAGAAAGTAACACACATGTGTCCATGTAGTCATCAGGATCCTGATCTCAATCTAAGGGGGACCTTGCTGTCACTATTCAGTTGGAAAGTGTTCTAATTTTCTGATTTTTAAAAAATTTATGTTTAATAAATTCATGTGCTATTCTAATTAAAAGTCTCACAATGGCTTAAATAGGATTCCTTGTGTTGCCCTACTCAGCAGATATCAGGTGCGTACCTGTTTAACTTCTTTCATATTCATATGACATTAAGTATCATCAGTGCATTCATTAGACTTTATTTGTTATATTCCCAGCAGGAATCAGACACAGTTTGAAACATATGATGTTGACAATCCAAAGGATATTCCATGTTAATTCGTATCATTGATTTCAAAAAGCCATTTCCTAAAATACATTTTGATCACAATAGAAACACTAAAGAAACTGTGATGCATCTATATTCTGTTGAATACCTCCTGAAAACCATTGGGTCTACTTTTGAAGCATAAGATTGGGCTGTAAATCTAGTTTATTTGGGGTGGCGGTGGTTAGGACAGCTTTGTTTATCACACAAAACGTTGAAACATTAAATGAAAATATTGGATATTTTCTAATAGTATCTATGGAAACATTACCAATTTAGACCCCAACAGCATACAATATTTTGGTGCAACATTGATAAATTGCTCCCTATCAGTTACTTGACTGAGGCAGTGTTGGATGACCTTGTCAGGACTGAGAAGCTAAGCAGGGTCTGGCTTGGTTATTTCTTAAATGGGAGATCTCTAAGGAATAGTAGGGCTAAAAGTTACATTGGGGAATTTAAAACAAATCCTTGAAGAGAACAGTGGCAACCCAGTTTGGCATTTTTGCCAAGTAAACAACATGAACATCTCCATTAAAGCATAAAAAGTTGAATTTGACTTAAATGAGGAATTAATCCTTTCCATATAGTAATGAAAGACCAAAACTAGTATGCAATCTACCAACAGAGGGCGTAGTTTCCCTTTCTTTCCCCTGTCGTATGTTACAAAGCCTTTTTTGTTCATGTGTGGTGTGGTTTTTATTAAGTAACTGAAGGCCATTTTTAGACATTTCTGAATGCTTCAAGGAAGGAAGAGATCAAGCTGCTCCTGTTATTCCCAGATCTCATTACTTAGCTAGAGACCACACCATGCTGAGCTGTCTTTAAAGACAATCCGTTTTATTTCAGTTCGAAAGCTAAAAGCAAACCTTTTACACTTTTTAGTGAGCACGTAAGAACTTGTGATAAAAAATACTGTCCAGGCATATGTCCATTCAAAAATAATTTGCCAACCAAATGCACACAGATCATGGTGTGCATATAGTTGGCAAATGAATGAATTCATACTAATTCTACTGCCAAAGCTGTGTTCTGTCAGAGAGATGAGAAAGTCAGCTAATGCAAGATAGGAGATGTGCCCATTTTTCTGTCACTCATCAGCAGTCAAGTACGTGTATATCTTATGGGATTCTTTATCTTCTCCATACGATTTCCAAAGCCTCTTAAAATAAATTTACCTGACTGCCCTCCTCACATGCATGACTCTGGGCAGCTAAGAGTTAAAAATAAAATAAAAACAGAGTAAAAAACAACCAAATTAAAAAAAAAAAACAGAAATAACATTAAATAATATAATAGCTGAGAACACTCAGTCAACACAAGCAAACCCAAGAAATGAGCTCAACTATACTATGAGGGCCCCAGGCTTGATGGCAAAGCCAAGTTTTCAATGCCTTGCAGAAGGCCAGAAGGGTTGGGCCAAGTCTAATCTCAAGGGGTATGATATTCTGCCACCATGGCAGAAAAGGCTATCTTCCTGGGCCCCACCAGATGGCACTCTCTTGTTGGACGGGACCTGGAGTTGGCCTCTCCTGCTGGATTTAACGGGATGGGTGGACACCATTGGGAAGAGATGGTACCGTAGGTAGCCTGGCTCCAAGACATGAAGGGCATTCAGGGAAACCACCAGCACCTTGAATTGCACCTGGAAGCATACTAGTAGCCAACGCAGCTCACGGAGCAGAGGTGTCACTTGTGCTGAGCAACTGGCACCCATAACTGCCCGCGTTGTTTTACTGCATGCTTCTTCCTGACTGGATCTAGGAATTGGGTATGATGATGAGCAAAAAATGGTACTCAGAGTAAGAGCAAATGGGGATGCAACCAAACAGAACTGGGAAAAAAATTTATATTAAAAACAGTAGTGCAAGCTTGCTGTTATTTGAAAGGCCTCAGCACATTCAGAACTCTATTTAGAACAAAAATTACAGTTTCTGCATTGCTGGTTGCACGCTCCAGCACTGTTTGGGATATTTTAAGGCTAAAATCCTGAATGTATTAAGGTCCACTGAACAGAACAAGGCTTATTTAGGTGTTCAACTGAGTAAATGTGTTAAAAGATTTGCCTAGCAGAAAAGTCTCATTGTTTACATTTAGTAAAGGATATGGACTGCATACCACTTAATGTGCAAATCAGAGCTGAAACCCTTTACAAACGACATTCATTTTTCTTTTATATTTCATTTTCTTAACAGTAAAAGTATTTTTTTTAAATAAATAAATAAATGAAAGGAGAAAAAAGCAAGGAGAAAGAAAAAGATTTTCCATTGCCACACAAATGAATGAACAAACATTTTACTACAGTCCAAGACCAGATTAAAAAAAAAGAATTAAGTCATGGACACATGGCTGGTTTTGTCTTCAGAAAGCTTTTGCTTCATGCATGTTAGTTACTATTGTGTCCAAATGGGTTACTATAGGACATAGCTATGTGTCTTCTCTATGTGCACCCTAAAACCCCTTTGCAGTTTCCTTTAATGGTTTGTTTGCAATTTATATTTGTTTCTTTTGGATATGGTTAGAATACTTCCAGTTCAGTTACATGTCTTACACACCAAGATGCATAGAAATCATAATATGCTGCTTCTAGATAATGGGGTTTGAGGAAACACTAGAAAACTGATGAGAACCTACAAAGGAAACAGACTGCTCATATCATGAAAGAGTTTGTGAATACGTGGATTAAGAAGAATAGGAGCATCTATCTTGTTTTGCTTTTCACCACACTGCCTCCCTTCAGAAAATGAACCAATTTCCTTTGATAACAAGTGTGCGCTGTCATGTTTTCCACCGCCAGTGATAGATATGCTAAAACATATTCTTCTTCCTCACTGAGCACTTCTTACTCTTTAATCTTAGAATGGCTCCAGCATAACTGCTGAATGAGTTAAGTGTTTGAAAAGATGTTATGACGTGAGAAGCCATCGGTGCATTTGGGAGACTAGCTACAGGGCAGAAAAAAATCCAAGTTCCATCATTCCAAGCTATGACTGCTGGTGATGGTGGTTACAACGTTTTGGCGAATTTCTTGGAATCAGTGATAACCCTTGATTAAAGTCACCCAGCCCATCAGTTCTGTATGTGTTTGTGAGCAGATACACACAAACTGTGCATGTATATACACAGATGCATATGCCTATATTATACCACATAGGCAGTGCCCAAACCATTTTCTCTGGCCTCCAGAACTCTCTGAAATTGCTCTCAAAACATGATGAAAAAACCTACCAATTTTGTGATACCCCCTCCCCCTGCCAAAAGATGTATAAGTCACAGGATGGACTTAATCAATCTAAAAAAAGCAAACCATCTCCAAACCTCCCAAAATACAAAAAAGAAACCTGATTTCCATCCATCTGCATGACTCCATTGCCGGGCCCACTATGGTCACAACTAATACAGTGGTACCTCTAGTTACGAATGCCCCTCCTTACAAATTTTTCGAGATACGACCAGCT